ACTCGGATTCAGTCTATGAGTGCACGTGTAAGGGCCGGACCGATGTGCGCCCAAAAAGGGAAAGGATGAGGCATGAAATGAAAGAGGAAAAGAAAGTGTGTAAAGGGGAAAGCGGGGAGACCGCTGGTGTTCAAAGCGTCCCGGATTGATTTCACAGATGCAACACTGGCGTCTTCGTTGGCGCCAGTCCAGTGTGCATCCCTGGCACCCCCTGCTGCAACTTTTGAACAAACCGCAAGTTCTCCAACCCAAAAGGATCCCTATGGTTCCAAAGGGCACACACATACACACACACGCCCCCCACTTGGGGAGGCGAAAAGAGCTAAGGCCGGGACAGTTGTGCGCGTGCGCGCGCCGAGTGCACAGGGACAAACGATGAAAGCCCACCTCATTGTAAAGACCTGGGCAACCTGAAACCTGGGTTACAGGTAGGTTGCGCGTGTACAAACTAGTAGCCGAGCTCTGTGTGTGTGTGCAAAAGAAGGAAAGAGATGAGATGACGGAACATGAAGACAGGAAGACATGAAACGAAACAGGACAAGAAGGTGCGTCGACGGGAAAAATGAGAGCCACACGCTGGCCTAAGTAAGCCGCCTAAGGGTTCCAAAGGTTTCAAGAACTCAAGTTAAAGTTGGCAAAGCACGAAAACGAACTGCGGCGACAGGTTGACGGCGGTCCGTGCAAGTCTTCGGAACTCAGTAGCACTTTACATCACCTGAAGGGCCTGCAAAAAGCCTGAGCGAGGGAGACCGCTGGAGTCAATGTGTTCAAAGCGGGTACTGTACGTCAATCCGGCGGTGTGGATTGATTTCACAGACTCCAGCCCAGCTTGAAGTTTAGTTGCCAGAACGCAACCAACGGCTGACCGAGAGTTTTGCATCCTTCTCCGCATGATTCCATGAGTCTTCTTACTGTGAGTCCTGACGCATCGCGAGCTTTCGTACTTCACAGTGTCGCCAGGCGCAAGAGGTTTGCCAGCTTCAGTGGCAATGTGAGTGTCGCGATGCATATGACTCCTCAGGATGTGTGTAAGATTGCTGGGATGTTGGTCTACTCCGAAGCCAAGGAACCTTAGCTTGATCACAATGTTTTCCCTGCTGAGGCTTCCAGAGGGACAACTTTCACGGTACTGCTTGTCACGAAAGGTAGCCGGGTAACGCGACCTTGAGTTTGCTTTTATAAGGGGTAGCTTCAACCACCTCTGTCTGTCTGTCTGTCTCTGTCTCTGTCTCTGTCTCTGTCTCTCTCTGTCTCTCTCTGTCTCTCTGTGTCTGTCTCTGTCTCTCTGTGTCTGTCTGTGTCTGTCTGTGTCTGTCTGTGTCTGTCTGTCTGTGTTTGTCTGTCTGTCTGTGTTTGTCTGTCTGTCTGTCTGTCTGTCTGTCTGTCTGTGTGTGTGTGTGTCTGTCTGTCTGTCTGTCTGTCTGTCTGTCTGTCTGTCTGTCTGTCTGTCTGTCTGTCTGTCTGTCTGTCTGTCTGTCTGTCTGTGTGTGTGTGTGTGTGTCTGTCTGTCTGTCTGTCTGGCTGGCTGGCTGGCTGTCTGGCTGTCTGGCTGTCTGGCTGGCTGTCTGGCTGTCTGTCTGTCTGTCTGTCTGTCTGTCTGTTTTCTGTCTTTGTCTCTGTGTGTGTGCGCGCGCGTGTATGAAGCCTTTGGAATCACAAGGTGCCTTCTGGCAATTTTTTCGTCATTAAGTTGAGCAGGGGTTGGTCATTGCATTGGCTTCTCACTTTGGCAAAGACGCTTTCACAGTGGTGATGGTGGTTGAAGGGGAGATCGACAGTAGTGACAAATCACTAAAATGGACAGACACACAGACACACAGAGACGCAGACAGAGAGACAGACAGACAGCCAGCCAGCCAGGCAGGCAGCCAGCCAGCCAGGCAG